AAGTATCGTATCTCAGATAATACGAATATTGAGTTAAGTCGATTTTATTACTTGAATAAGATTGCTCTTCACTATCACGAAGTTTCTAATCCCTTCAGAGTTATAGGAAAATAATATTAGAATTATCTCATTTTAATAGGAAATTAAATTTCACGAGGGAGCTTAACTTAATTTACGCCAATTTTGTGAAATTATAAAATATACATATCATTTTATAGCATATGGCTATGTAAGCTACGCTAGTTCGAAAAATTATAGTTCTTTTTTAACTTCACGAATACAGCTTTTTTAGATTAAAAAGAAAAAAACTTGATTTGAAAGATATTCCCCTCGAATTTATGAGTGCGGAGTGCAAAAAAAGAATACTACAAAAAATATACCTATGGATTTGAAGTCACTGTGTGAAGGATATATACTGGTAGTTCGCTTACAAGTATACCAAAGATTCGATTTAAATCTTCCTCAAGAGTAATAGATGAAGTACTAATTATTATTTTGTTCATGTTATTATATCATTATTGTTTGAGTAAGTCTTTTGTTTGTGCTGCCATATTTAACTCGTATAGGGAGTTAAATAGTTTTAGATACTGCGGGTACTTATTTCGCCATAATATTCACTGCTCCCCTTTTTGTAACCATTTTGCCTTGTAATAAAACAATTTTTTCTTTAAATCTCGTGTTTCGATTTCTCATCACTTTAATATAACACGGACGTGACTAAGACTTTATTCTATGAATTACGAACCTTCAATTTCACAAATTGACGTATCTACCCTTTTTTGGAAATTTTGAACAGATAAAACGAAAAATGGGTTAATCGTTGCCCATTTTTGAAAAGTTTGTAATCGTGAGCAGATATATCCACCAATTCAATTATGTACCAATAATACCTTTTTGTCAGCATCAACTCAAAACTTGTGATAATATTTAAAACGCTCTCCTGTAAAACTGGATAAAGTGAGATACGCCACTTCTTGTTATGGACGACGATATGGGAGAAGGAAACTTCATAACTAAGACCACTAGGAAGATGCAAGGGCTGTTTGATCCCTATGACGTTCAAATAGTGCATCTAAACGTTTGCAGCATCCGGAATAAATATGATGCCCTAGAAGTGTAGACAAAGCTTCGCCAGATATCACCGAAACATGGCTAACAACGACTGCTGCAGATCTCGCTAACATTCAGAACTATAAACTAGTTTTGGACCTTCGAATGAAAAATGTAGTGCTATGTGTCTATCGGCCTCCTTCAGGGACATAACTATTTTCTTGGAGAACTTGACTTCAGTCTTAAATCGAATAGCTACAACAAATAATAACATAATTCTGTGTGTAGACCTTGATATCGATTATCATCAGTCAATACTCAATGACATCCTACAGTCCTTTGGACTAATGCTACGGACCAACTCGAAGAGCATCAAACAAAGCCACTGGTATGTCCCAAACTTAAATCGGTTACATGACCACGAACATCAACTTACAAAATCTGAAATGTACCATAGAATATCCTCAAATATCCGACCATTCTGCATAAATCCTAGCGCTATCTTCCTCGCCTCCAACAACTTAAAATCTCCAGCTCAATCTGTGAGGAAAACTGATGATAGTAATTTCGAAGAACTGCGATTAAGGCTTTCTCAAGAATATTGGAATATTGAGCAGACATATATAGATGATGCTTTGGAAACAACATCTTTCTGTGGTTTTTCGATAGGACATGTCCTTAGAAAGTTATTACGAGCAGACCTTTAACAAAACTGAAACCATGGATAACACCGGAGTTCAGAAAGTCGAGAAACCATCCACGAAATTTATACAAACATACACGAGAGAACGAGCAAGACACAGCTAATAATAAGACAACACAGATCTGAGAAACAGTCAACCAGGAGCTTGGACGTAAAAAGAACTCTGGAGTAATTTCACTGAAAAGCGACAACAGTGGAGATATGAGACAGATTAGTGTGCACGACACTTTTAGGAAACATTTTTTCAAGCATAGTAGTAAGTCAGCTCCAACAACAATTCAAAGGAGTACTCCCACTATCAGTAGCGGCAGCTAAAACTCAAGTAGCGCATTAAATCCTCATCCACCGATGAAGTGACGTCAATTATATACGACCTTCCAAACAAACAATCGTGTGCTAGTGACGGTGTAACTACAAGTGTTATTAAAAGTGTTTTAAATGATATAGCAGGTTCTTTCAGTACTTTAATCAACATATCTGTATATCAAGGCAAATTTCCTAAATCCCTGAAGCTTGCCATGATAGTTCCCGTTCTAAAAGAGGGAGATCCTACTCAAGTTGATAAATACCGCTCCATATAAGTAACATATTGTCAATCTTCTCGAGGAAACATTATTTTATTCAGGTTTAGGAGGCTTTATATTAGATTGGGTAGTGTCTTTCCTGTCTGACAGAAAATTCAAAACAAAAGTCAGTGGAATGACATCCGCAACGTACAGTATCGACATTGGAGCAAAGCAAAGCTCAGTTTTACTACCCTTTGTATTCATACTATATATAAGTGATTTGCATCTCTCTGGATTTGTAACAAACTATGCCGAAGATTCGTCAGTTCTTGTCAGTGGCGCTACACGCAATGACCCTATCGCAAAAATCAGTAAAGTCAAAGATGAAATGAAAGAGTTGGCCAAGTAAATCGTTTGATTCTGAGCCTTGAAAAGTCTGATATTGTATATTTTTATACAAGCGCCCCTGTTCTAGCAAATCATGAGACATCTCAAACTATGACGTTCTTGGGCATGGAAATGGATGAAACACTCAATTGGCAACAACACATTGACAGTGTGTGTAAAAAGCTGAAACATCGTATTATGCAATACTAAAGTTTAGGTTTTGCTTACCAAAATCAGCTTTGCTAGATGTTTATTATTCTCTAGTCCACTCATATTTATCATTATTTGGGGTCAATCAACTTCAATTTATCGAGCAATTGCTCAACAGAAGGGAATAATCAGATTGATATTCAACATCCATAGAAGAGAATCTTGCAGAGAGATCTTCAGACTCTACCAAGAATAGAATAGAAAGGATTTATTTAGCTTTAAGCTACTTCAAACAATAATAAATATTATTTACAAAAATATGTTAAATTTACAAAGAGGTCGTCACATCAAACCAAAATAGTCTCTCCGAAGTCTCTTTTTGAAAATTTTAGCATTACTAGATGTTTTTACATTAATAGGCAGATTGTTGTACATTTTTAGACCTTCAACAAACATTGGCTTTTCTAATCTTTGTATATGGAAATTTTCCTTTGATCTAATGTCGTAACCTTGCATTTCACATCTTTTTTTTAGAAACTGTTCAAGATAAGGTGGAGCCTGATTATTGATAATTTTGGTATAAAAGAATTAAATTTGCCTCTTGAATAATTTGGTGTATGTTTAAAAAATTTACTGCCTTTAGCATATCCTGTATATGGGTATACCTGCCACAATTTAACAAAATCCGCATACATTTATTTAATAGAATTTGCAACCTTTGCTTTTGCTCATTTGTGCATGTAATCAAAAGTGATGCACAATAACTAAAATGAGGAAAATTATTCTATTGTAGACTACCCTTCTGCACCAGGGACTTAGATTCTCACAAATTCTACGAAAATACCTGATCCTTTTGCCTAATTTCCGACACATATAGTCAACATGTTTGTTGAAAGTTAGTTGCTGATCTATTAGATCACCTAAATACTTAACACTATCTACAAAATCAAGTACCTCTCCCTCAATTTTCACTGGCATATTTTCTTGCAATTATTCTTCGAACTTATAATCATACATTTCGATTTTCTCACATTTAATTTAATCTTGTTTGTTTTTAACCATAAACTAAGTTTGCTCATTTCACTATTCATTACATCTACAATTTCGTTACTTACTGAATCACTAACTGAAATTAATGTATCATCCTCAAACAAATTTAGAAAAGAATTGCTAAGGACATTCGACATATCATTGACATATAGAATAAGCATTCATATTCACAAATGTGCCCTTGTCACATATACAAACAAAACAAAATTTATACAGAGCAAAAACGTCAACACACATTATAATACAAGGGCAGGTGAGAGTCACCACAATACACCTGTATTAGAATATACAACAAACTTACAGCTAATCTAAGGAATGTCAGTAGCATTGCTAGTTTTTAACATCAACCGTTAAAATTATTAGTTGAACAAATTTGAGGGTTTCCACGTGGAAAAAACAATTTGACCTTCAAGGTCATAGCCAAGGTCAGAATGAATAAAAGTTTTTTTATAATATTCCTCTTTTTTCAGCCATTCGCTGCTTCACAACATTCCATGAAAGAGCAACAGTTGACCTTGAAATAACCTCTAGATGTAATTTTAGCCCTATGATATTTATCTCCACGAAATAGATTTTTTTTTGGATTCGATTTCTGCAATAAAAAATGGGGGTTCCCGTTTACAAAAATTAACTTGCCATTGAAACGACCCTCAAGGTGGATGTTAACGTCAAATTCAATATTACTAGAGGAGAAGGTCTAAATATAGGCTAGGGTCTAAATATAGGCTACTTGATACTGTGGTTTCCTACTTACTGGCAAAGAGAAGGCAACAGCGCACAATGATGTCTCGTCAGTCAAACCGTTGGCGGTAAAAAATCGGTTGTGTTCATTTGACATGTGTAGATGTTATGTTCCACGGTGTGCTATATCCTGTGATTTAGCGACTCGGAAAGTTTATAAGGTATGTTTATTTTCTTTTTGACACTGTGATCTTTTGAACTTAGAACTGATCTATTTCATTAATGATTTTAGTGACATACTAAGGTTATTCTTACATAGGTTACATTTGCTATAATGTTGTTCACTAATATTTGCCACACACCTATTCTTTTTGATAACGATGGTCCAAATATAGGCTACAAAGTGTGGTCCGAATTTGGGCTAGCCCGAATTTGGACCTTTATTTAGTATTACGACTTATTTTGGTTTCAGAATGCCGCGCAGCAATCCAAAATATGTCAAGAAAGATAAAAGGAAGTCGTGGAAGAAAGAAGACATGGAAACAGCAATTACAGTGGTTCGAGAAAAAAAGATGGGAACCTTAAAAGCGGCAAAAACTTTTAATGTGCCTCGTACAACCCTACAAACTTTGAGTAAAAAACTTGACCTTACTCCAGCACAAGCAGTTTGTACTAAGCTTGGGCGAAAGCCTTACTTGGGTGAAGACTTGGAAAAAGAGTTAGTTTCCTACTTACTCATAATGGAGCAGAAGTTTTATGGGTACACTATCCGAGATTTGCGCAGAATGGCTTATCAAATTGCAATTAGAAATCATCTTGAAACGCCATTTAACCGTAACGAGGCCGGCAGATCTTGGGTGGATCTTTTTTTAAATCGTCATAAAGAGCACCTATCTATTCGGAAACCATGTGGAACATCTTTCTCAAGAGCTTTAGGCTTCAACAAAGAGAATGTTCAGAGTTTTTTCAATATGCTCGAAGAGGCTTACGAAAAACACAAATTTCCAGCTGAGAGAGTGTTTAATGTTGACGAAACAAGACTTTCTATTGTTCAAAGCAAAATTCCTCATGTCATTGGTCGAAAAGGAAAAAAGCAAATAGCAGCCTTGACTTCTGCAGAGAGAGGTTCTACCGTAACGATAATTGCATGCATGAGTGCTTCTGGAGTTTTCGTCCCTCCTCTAGTGATCTTCCCAAGGACAAATATGACTCAAATCCTAATGAAAGGATGCCCTCCAGGTTCAATAGGGAGAGCTCACCCCTCAGGATGGGTTCAAAGTAATATTTTTACAGACTGGTTTGCTCATTTTATTGAGAAAGTCTGTCCGACAGAAAACTCGCCAGTTCTGCTGATTTTGGACGGACATTACAGTCACGTCCGAAATCCAGATTTAATTGACATGGCCCGAAAGAGCTTCGTGACAATAATTTGTCTTCCACCGCACTCTACACATAAACTGCAGCCGCTCGACAAGACATTCATGGGACCATTAAAAGCTTTTTATAGTGAGGAAGTAAGACAATTTATTAGACATTCAAACCGCGCTGTTACACCATATGACATCATGGAGCTCTTTGGGAAAGCTTACCTTAAGGTCCAGACGGGAGATATTGCAGTCAATGGTTTCAAGGCAACCGGAATTTTTCCTTTGAACAAAAATATTTTCACAGAGGCTGATTTCATAGCCTCTGAAATCGAAGCAGAGAAAACATGCAATGCACCCCAGGCTGATCAGTCAAAGGTGGTAGGATCTACATCATCTTCCCATGCATCATTTTCTCAATGCTGCTCTTCAAGCACTCCAAAGAATCTACCTGGACCATCGAAGCAAATTAGCCCTTTTCAAATTGCCCCAGTACCCAACATCAAGAAAAAGGTCACAAATCGTGGTCGCAAGTCTTCAAGTGCTTGTGTGATCACAGATACACCATACAAAGAAGAGCTTTCGAAGAGCCTGGAAAAGTCTGCAGCGAACATGAGCAAAAAAAAATTGCTATTTAACGATTTTGATGGCTCAAAAAAAAAGAGCAGCAATAAGATGACAAAAAGACCAAAAATAAGCTCAAAACCGGAGTCAGAATCTTCAGATTCTGATGGTGACTTACCCGACGACAGTTCGAGTGACATTGAAAGGCCTAATGGACATTACCCAGACGATGAGGATGCAAGTTGCTTATTTTGCAATGGAATGTTTTCAGAAGACACTAGAGGAGAAGTTTGGGTGAAGTGTTTTCAGTGTTTTATGTGGGCACATAGTGACTGTGCGGGTGCTGAAAAGGACATTTACATATGTGACTTTTGTAAATAAGTTTTATATTTTGTCTCCAAGACTTTTTGTCGATAAACTTGTGTTTATTGTTTCAAGCCTGACGTAATGGCGATAAGCATTTGTGCAACAGTTATTATTTGGTTTTATAGTTTAAACTGTTTTTTTAATAATATGATTATTGATAACATTTCATACCTAGAATATCTTTTTTTGAAATACTGTGAAACCACGGGCAATATCTAGATGTATTTTGATGGTAGCCCATATTTGGACCCTACCTGCAAAATCTTGTATTTTACCTTTTATAGAAATAAATATTGTAAAGTGAAAGCTTTTCATATTTAGACTATTTTTTCCCGGTATTATTACATACATATGTTCCAGCTATGCTATACTAGGCCTAATATTAAAACAAATATGAACATTGTATTTTAAATAAATAAAAACAAAGCACCAGCCCGTATTTAGACCTTCTCCTCTACTAGATGCACCATTCGATTTCCTAAAGCTTGTATTCAAAGTTTTATCTAGCACCCTTAGTTTCCGAGATATTTGGGTGTGTACAAATCTTTGGGATGAGTTTCTAAGGTGAATTGGAATATAGTTTTACTTAGGACATTAAAACTATTTTGAAAAATAACATCTTATATACCTATGTTTCTGAACCCTTATATCACGATAACTGTTCATTACCGAACCTTGTGCCCATGGGGAATTATAGTCAGATAATCATAATACTGGAAACATGAATTCTGCAAATTCAGTAAGTTTAATGCTGTACTTTGCTTGTGGATTGAAAGTAGTAAACCCGGCCTTTAGCAGCTCAACTAGGCGGCTATTAGAAATGGAACAAATCGCTTGGCATCGTTATATCGTTGATTTAGTTTCTGATGGCTGTTGAAATGTCCGCGATATCCGTACAAAGGCAATTTGCAAGTGCACAAGCATTCATCTATAAATCTTGCAAACGTCCGAAATAGCGTTCACATGCAGTTTGATTTCAATTATGGCCGTATTATGTCATGCGAAAATAATTTTATTATTTAATATTGCTAGGAACCGACAAGTAAAACGCGACTCGGTTCGTTAATTGACTATATTTCGCTGTAAGGCAATTACTGAGTTAGTAATGGGCAAAACATTGAATACCCGGTATGGATACTGAATATCCAATATTCTCGAGGCCATACCTGGATGAATTTTGATCGCAGAATAAGCTACAATGTAAGCAACAAGGCCCAAGCTAAAGGAAGCTGCCATAAAACTTCCAAACTAGTAGAAAACTGAAGCTAGTTTACCTTGCTCAGTATACGAAGCGTACAAACGAAAGGCAACATGGAGTGAGCTAGCTTGAGAAGGTCGGAGCTGTGATGTGGATAGATCGCGCTCCAAGCAGTCGAGAAATGACCAATTCAAGAAAAACTTCCTAGACTGACGGATTAGCCTAGAGAAACACATAATCATCGGTACTATGACTCACTTGAAGTTGGAAAGCTTCTCATGGTCAGCATCAACACTAAATGAGAAATGGGACACCAGCAACAAACCAAAATTCCGTAAAACGATGGGCTCTAATGTTCCATAATGCTTTCAGGTTTCAATATTTTATTATTTTTTTTTGCGTAATTAGCAATAATGACACACAGCAATTATGACACATGATAGAAAAATCTTGTAGGAGCTCCAAAATCAGAAAAAAATGTCTTACAAAGGTCCTATAGCTTACTGGGACCTAGGTGTTATATAAAATATAAACTCACTTGGACTGGGAAAGTTTAACAATGGATAATGACTTTACTAAGGTCTCATACACACCGAATTATTGATCTAAAAATAACTGAAATATCATAGTAAACAAAAAATCTATATTAGACAATATTCCCGAACTGTAACTTTCTCCCAAATTGAGACACTAGAGATATTTTAGTAAAAAAATTAACCAGTCAATACTACCATATATGCTATTTTACCCGAATCGAGACACAGCATATGTTACATTAGAATAAAGAAAACCTTATAGTGTTATGTTGTCGTTAGTATAAGAGTATTTAGTATTTTTTTTCGCACCCTTCTGCGGGTTTTTCATGTACTTGTCTTGATATACATTTTCTTGAGTTGAAGATAAACAATGATAATATATTATAATTTATTTATATATATATATATATTTGTTGCCTTACAAATCTCTTAGTCTGTAGTGAGGATCAAAGTGCACTTGACATAAGTCAATTTTTTACAGTTTAGATTATGTTCGTATACTTAGTATTATGTTTAAGAGTGGGAGTGCTTGCAGATTCCAAGACTGGTACTTCTTACATAATTTGCAAAGAGCGGCACAAGATTAATAAAGGTAGATCTTTTCACCGGTAAGTATTATTCCTATGTCGATACAACGCTGTCACTTTGGTAGGCATTGGTAGACAAATGAGTCAAAAGTAAGCACTAAATCTACGCAAATTTGGCGGCAAACGATGCAATGCAAACGTATAGATTTGGCTCCTTCTAATTTATTCGAATTTGTTGGTCTGGGCACAGTCTGATAGTCGAGTCGTCCAGTGACCAAGTGAGTTGATCGAAACGAAACGAAGGGATCCTTTGGTGATGAATGTGTCTAGGTGTTAATTCTACTATCCTACTATACTATTTCCTTGACCATCAAATTCCATAATTTTCAAAATTGGACTACTTTAACTGAATGCAACTTTTAGAGGGTGAATGAGCATCTATATTCTGACGTCAAATTTGAAAACCGTTGTTAGCAGAAAATGACCATTAGATTAACTTGGAGTCAAGATCGTATTTGGTCCCTTCTTGCAACGCAAAAGTTATATTATGGAATGAGAAATTTGGTTAGCTGGTATCCCATAATTTAGGCTGGCTAATGTACTGACTGATTCATTTATTCACTGTCCTTAAAATGAAATTAGATAAAATTTTTGTCCTATTATTTTATTGAAGGTTAAAATTTATATATAAAAGTGAAATCATATAATTGCCCTTCCTCTGGAAGCACCGCAAACCGAGTCCAATTGACTACGTTTTCCATTGCTTTGTGGAAAGTTTGGAAGGAATATTTTGAATAGCTTCCCGAATATTCCTCCTCAGCTGCTTTATTGTGCTAGGTTTGTTGGTAAAGGGTAAACCGAGGCGAATCAGATCAATGGATGAATCGGATCAAATTAACCGTGTCAACGCATTATTCAAAATATCAACGGATTTCTCATTTTTACTCGATACACCTACTGATCCCATTACTCTCGGTTTACACTTAATCCTACTTTTTAGTCCCAACATAAACAGCGTGGACCTTCATGCCTGGTGATTTTGCAGGCTAGCTATCACTTACTGGGTTGATCAAATGGCCTCATTTTTCTCAAAACATTCATCTTTAGCTCTCCGATAAGTTGATTGGAACTTTCCCCTAAATAATTGTAAAGTCTGATTTCATTGGTGCAAGTTATTTAAGTGGGTATTGAAAACACGGACGCATGAAATGAGTACACCAATTTTTGTGCTAAAACTTTTAATTTGACAACAAAGAATGAGAATACGTGATTTTTGGGATTCAATCGAGTATTGACAGGAACGAAAAAATTTTTCATACAAGATTTTTAGGTATTCATGAGACCTACGAAATGACACCATACGTAAAAAGATCCGACTAATAGCAAAAATGTTATGGCCAAAAAACGGGCAAAATGCAGGTTTTGGCACTTGACGGTAATGCAACTACTTAAAATTCTTAAAAACCATAGGATTCATACTTTCTAAAAACAGAGTATATTGGTTAAGTAGTTTTTTGAGAATTTCTAATTATCCCGACTAGTGTATTGAGCAACGTACAGAGTTTATTCAAAGAGCATTTAATAGCAAAATACACGTGTTTACCTTGCCGATATGAATCACAAACCGTTCCGAAAGATAAATGTTCTTTTATGCGAAAAACAAAGGTTACGTTTTTTCTTCTAAACATTTCGTATTTGTGAGTAATTGAACAAATATGCGCTATAATATTCGAAAAACATACGTTACTATATACATTTTAAAACAAAGCGGATGTGCCTATCATCTTTTGTTGCGAATTACACACAAATACGAAACGTTTGAATTTGTTTAGAAGAAAAAACGTAACCCATCCTTTTTTTGCATAAAAATAACATTTATATTCGGAATGGTTTGCGATCCATATCAACAAGGTAAACTAGTGTATTTTGCTGTAAAATGCCCTTTGAACTAACCCAGTATATTGCTCAATAAACTAGTAGTGATGGCCGGAAAATAGGTATTTTGGGATAAATAAATTAGAAATTCTTAAAATCTACTTGACCACTCCACTCCAATTTTGTTGTGGTTATTTAGTACGAATCCTACGAATTTCAAGTATCAAGTGCCAAAACCTGCAGTTTACCTCGGTTTTCGGTCATAACTTTTTTGCTATTAGTCGGATGTTTTGATCAGTGGTCTCATTTTGCAGGTCTCATAAATACCTAAAAAGCCTATATGAAGAGTTTTTCCATTCTTGCCAACACGTTCGATTGAATCCCAAAAAACACGTTTTATCACTCTTTGTTGTCGAATAAAAAGTTTTCCCACAGAAATTGATGTACCCATTTTATGCGTCCATGTTTTAAATACCCCCTTGAACAACTTGCAGCAATAAAACCAGACTCTACAATTAGTTTACAAGCCAGGGCTATTTTCGTCTAATATGATTACACTAACTTCTAGATCTTTGGTGTGGTAAGCCATAGTTTCAGTTAAGTGCTTGTTGAGTGACCATAGGCATTTTAAGAGTTTCGGTATATGCGGATTATGTATATGTATATGTGGTGAGTTCGTAGCACCCATTTACATATTTTTACTTTTGCGTTATACAAACTTCGAATACTGCTCTCAAATCGCTGGATAGTATACACCACCGAGCAATTCGCTTCATACTGGGAGCATTCAGGACAACACCTATCCAAAGTTTATATTGCGAATCTGGGGAACTATCATTGAATGACAGAAGAAAGATATTGAGTTTAGCATACGCATCA